AAACTGGAAAAACTTTTTTTTTTCAAAAAAAAGATGACCAGTAAGTAGATCTTAACCCCTGACTTGGTGTTGTCAGCACCATGCTCACCCAATTAGCTAATCAGCCATCCTTATATAGGGATCTGAACCCATGGCCTTGGTGTTACCAGCACCACATTCTCTTGAGTGAGCCATGGGCTGGCCTGGAAAAAATTTTAATATCATGTGCTGGCAAGTATATGGAGCAACTGGAACTCTCCTGCATTGGCAGTGAGGATGCAAAATGATACAGCCACTTTGAAAACATTTTGTTAATATCCTGTGATATTAAACATACACTATCCATAAAGCTCAGCAATCCCACTCCCAGGTATAAACCCAAGAGAAGTGAAAACTAATATTCATACATAAACCTGTATGCAAATGTTCACAGCAGTTCTACTCATAAAATCCCTAAACAGGAAACAACCCAAATGTCCTTCAGTAGATGAATGAATAAACACATTTTGATATATTCATACAACAAAATACTCCAGCAATAAAAAGAAAGCAGCTACCAATGCATACAACATTAATGGATCACAAATGCAGTGTTATAAGTGAAAGAAGCCAGACTCAAAAAGTTTGATTCACTGTATGATTCCACTTACATGACATTGTGGGAAAGGCTAGAGCAATGAAGAACAGATTAGTGGTTGCCAGGGACTGGGGTACATGGAGGACAAGGAGGGAGCACAAAGAAATTATTTAAGGTGATGGAACTGTTTTGTATCTTGATTCTGGTTGTGGTTACATGAGTGTAGGCATGTGTCATAAGCCATTGAATTGTACACCAAAAAGACCGAATTTTATTTTATATAATATAAATTAATTTTTAAAAATCTTTCATGCAATCAGCAAGATAACCAATCGGATTTGGGGGGGGGGGTATTCATTTCTATCATTTTTTTGATGCCCTTTATTTTTCTCACTTTTTCTAGACTTATATTCCCCTGTTTTGTTGCCTTCTTTTAGATCAACTCCCCGTCGACCTCCCATTCCATTTTTCCCTGTACAAAGTTTGGAAGTTTTACACTATAGTTCTGTAGGTGGTGCCCCAAACTAAATCTTTCCAACAGAATTTTCTGCAATGATGGAAATATTCTACATCTGCTCTAATTAACATGGCAGCCACATGAGGCTACCAAGTACTCGAAATGTGGTTAATTCAATTAAAGATCTGCATTATTCACATTTTTATTATTTCATTTTAGTTAGGTTGAATTTAAATTTAAATAGTCACATATGGTTAGTGGCTACCACATTGAAAAACATAGTCCTAGGCATTTTAACAAGAATATGTAACTCGATGAAGTCTAAATTGACTCTCTCCTCCTAAGTAACACAAGGATATCATCTGAAAACATGAGGGATTGTCAAGAAGATCATGGAAAATGTGTATGATGAAAAAACTACGCCTGGATTTCAAAATTTTTCTGCACCAAATAAACTCCTACAAATTTGCTATAACATGTCTGGACAGGATCTAGTTTGAGGCACTGAGGATAAGACACCAGTCTGAAAAGAGCCCCTATCAATGAGCAACATGAATTCTGCTAAAATTGAAGCAAGAACATCAAATTTATGGTGACACTGGGGTGGAAGAATGGCGAAGTCATGGATGCTTTACAGAAAGTTTCTGTGGACAACAAAAATGCCAACAGAAATCAGCAGTTTACAAATGGACAACTCATTTTAAGAAGGGATGAGACAATGTTGAAGATGAAGCCTGCAGCAGCAGACCATCCACACGAGTCTGTGAGGGAAAAATTAATCTTGTTTGTGCTCTAACTGGAGAGGACCCATAATTAACAGCAGAAACAGTAGCCAATACCAGAGACTCCTCAACTGGTTCAGCTTACGCAATTCTGACTGAAAAATTAAAGTTGAGCAAACTTCCTACTTGAAGAGCCAAAACTGTTGTGCCCAGATCAGCTACAGACAAGTGCAAATTTTCCAATGGAAATTTTAAACAAGTGGGGTCAAGATCCTGAAGCATTTCTTTAAAGAACTGTAACAGAAGGATGAAACATGGCTTTTTCGCTTCTTTACTTTCTGGAGGGCCGAAGACCAGAAACATCTGCTTAGGCTGAGAATGTTTTGAGAAAGCTAGAAAAAGCTTTAGCAGAGAAACACCTGGGAAAACTTCACCAGAGTTGACCATGACAAGGCTCCAACTCATTCTTCTCATCAAACAAGGGCAATTTTGCAAAAGTATCCATGGGAAATCATTAGGCATCTACCTTACGGTCCTGATTTGGCTTCTTCTGACTTCTTATTTCCTAATCTTAAAAAAGTCTTTAAAGGGCACCCATGTTTCTTCAGGTAAAAAATGTAAAAAATTCTGCATGACAGCGTTAAATTCCCAGGACCCTCAGATCTTTAGGGATGGACTAAATAGCTGGTATCATCACTTACAAAAGTTTCTCGAACTTGACAGAGACTATGTTGAAAAATAAAGTTCCATAAACTTTATGAACTCCCCTCATACTTCTCCTTTGCTTACAGAATAAAATCCAAATACCCAAGCATAAAGTTTAAGGAAGAAAAGATATTGCATCCATTTTCCAAAAAGCTATTATGTCTCTCTCTCACTTTTTAGGAGCCATAAATGTGTATAGAAATGAATTCATGCCAGCTTAGGAACAGGTGTAAATGCCCCCTTCACCACAAGGTTTTGTGCAGGAATGGGTGAGCTACTTAGCTGGGGACAATTAGATGTCAAGAAGTTTTCTTGGGGTACCAGGATTGACATTATCTGAATACTGAAGCCTCTGAAATTACTGCAGTGTGGAGTATACTAACATTTAAAAGGAAATGTATTTCACAGGGTCTAATTTCCAAAGCCCTGTAGTTTCAGGTTTAACCTAACTTTTTAAAATTACATACAGAAATGTTAAGCTTGCAAAAGACAGGAAACTTTCCCCAGGCTAAAGTCTCTGTTGTGGATATAGAATTGTAACACAGCAATGTTGCTGGCTTTCAAGAACAGATGCCCTTGGAGCAGGCTAACCTACTGATTGATATGTTAAGAAAGTTGCTTTATTGTTATGTAAAAATACTGAGGAAACTGCTGTAGGAAAACACCATATTTGCTAAGAACAAGCTTTTGTTGGTGGATCAACTTAACGTTTTGCAAATTGCATTATGGAATGTCACTTTGTTATTTCACTGTTGTTACCAGCCTCTGTTGTTAAACTATACTTAACCATAACTCAACCTATGTTCTTTTTCTGTAACTTTCTGGCCTCTAGAATAAATACTGAGACAGAACCCCAGTTCAGGGTTAATTTCCCAAGGAAGGAATGCCTCTCTCTTGAGGGTTCTGGGAGGTTAACCCCTTCAGGGTGTCTCACTGCTCAGAAGAGATGGGCTTTGAGTAATCCTTTTTGCATCTCTGACATCCCATGTGAGGCAAAGCAACACTGCAGCTCTATTGTCACTAGGCAGAAAGTCAGCCAGAGGATGACATGAAAAGGAGAAACGTAGACACTGAACACACAAACAAGTCCTTGAAGAAACTGTGTACCACTGAATTAGAGCTCAGAAGAACTTGGACTGTCCACTTTGTGAACCAATGAATTCCTTTTAGTATTTCACAGTTACAGAACTTTTTTCCTGGCAATATAGAAAGTATTTACCACACCAAGGTCAAGGGTTTGGATCCCCCTAATGGCCAGCCACCAAAAAAATAAAGTAAAATAAAATAATTTAACAAATAAAAAGTTCTTTCTAATATAAAGCCTACTGTGATCTTGTACTAAACTGTCTTCCCAGCATAGGAAGCATTATTTCCTTACTACATTCTTGAATTCTCCTTTTTTATATACAGATATGTATCATCAAATCCAGCTATACTGATCTTCAAACATGTTTTCATGTGTACATGACTTTACTCTGGCTACTTCCTAATCCTTGATCCACTTAGCTGGAGAAATATTATTCATTCTTTTTTTTAAAATGTAATTTTTGACATACAAAAAGTTGTACATAGATAATGTGTACAAATTAATGAGTTTGGGGATAAGCATCTACTTGTGAAACCATCACCACGATCTATGCCATAAACCTATTCATCACCTCCAATAGTTTCCTCGTGCTCTCTTCTTTATTATTATTATTATTTTTGTGATAAGAACACAACATAAAATCTATCTTCTTAGCAAATGTTCAAGTATACAATACAATATTATTAACTATAGGCATGATGCTGTACACTTGATAACTAGAACTTATTAATCATCTATAACCCAAACTTTGTACCCTTTGACTAACCCCTCCCCCCCGTGATCTGGCAGCCACCTCTGCCTCTATGAGTTTGACTATTTTAGATTAATTATTTATTCTTTAAGATCTTTCTTATATGACACTACTTTAATTTCTTCAGTCTGAATTAAGCATTCTTCTCTCTAAAAGCACTTGTTTATATCTCAATTTAGTATCATCATTTTGCATATTTTGAGTAAAATAGTGTGGTGGACAAAAACGGGTCTCTGAGGTCTGACTGCCTGGATTCAAATCCTTGCTCTGAAGTCCATTACATTTGCAACATGAAGCAAGCTGGGGTTCAGTTTCTTCATTTTTAAAGAAGAAGAATAATACCTATTACACAGAGTTTTACTAAGTGTTGAATGACATAATCCATGTGAAGCTGCACACATAATTCCAGGTACATAGTGTTTTCTCAGTAAATACTAGCTATATTATTATTTTTGCCTGTCCACATTTCCAATGATTTTAAGTATTTACATTGTTTGTTAGTCACCTTGTTGTCTTAAGATACCCTTTGCATTAACTCATACACTATCATTTTGCTTTCAACAAGCAGTTGTGTGTGTAATCTCTCCAAATACATTTTAAATAACACAAGAGAAGGGATTATAACTACCATTCTTTAAGAACTTATCCCTTTCCAAGAAACTGATACAGTGCTATGGTTAGAGTATTGCTCCAGTGAGGAGGTGTAATAAAGGTAGATATACCATTAAAACTTCAGGTCTGGTACTCTGGTCATTTTCTGTAGCTGGGAATAACTTATCTTCAGTCTTCATGGAATTCATGATGAGTTCTACTACTGGCCAAGATGGAGAAACAAGGATTGGATTTTCTCTCCCACCAGAAATGACTTTAAAAAAAAAAGAGAAGATATATGAAACAACAACTTTCAAATACTGGACATCAGGCAGTGCAGGACAGGGATCTCTGACATCTGAGAGGGAAATCAAATGGGGTAAGCCCTGCAGCTGTCTAGCCTACTACATGGATAGAGTTTCCAAGGAATATGTCAGGGAGGGGAAACAGGTAGAGTCTGGCAGTTTCCCTGAACTGAGAAGACAAGCTGGGAGTCTTGGGAGGCCAAGATGGCTGGAGGTTTTAGGAGTAGTACAGGGAAGAGAGCTACAGCTACCCAGATAGAGAGGGTGCCAGAGGTAGTGGGTGACCCATGAAATTTCAGCTAAATATCGGTAAGTGCATGATTGTGATCAAACTGTTGGGAGCAGGAGAAGAACCACCCAAAAGAAGCAAATGGAACAGCTCCTGAGGTTCACACAGGGCTCGGAATAGTTTCTGTTCCCAAAGGTCAGGCTAGAAAACTTCATAATTCATGAAGCACTGGGTAGAATACTCAGAAAGGCACTGCCTCCATAGTAGGATAAAATTAACCCTAGACTAAAAGCTGCACTGGTCCCACTTAAATTTAAAAGTAAGCCTTGAAAGTATAAAATGGTTTCATCTGTAAAATAAGGATGATAATAATATGTATTGCATAGAGTTTTATTAAGTATTAAATAAGATAGAAGTGAAAACATAACAGATAACATAATTATAGTTGCAGATAACATAACTATGTACTAGAACAAAGCTCAATAATATTGATAGGAACGTAAATATTTCTAACAGCCCAAAATGTGAAATTAACAAAGCTTGATGTCCAATCAAAAATTACCCACCATAAAAAGGAGAAAAATATGACCCATAATGAGGAGAGAAATCAGTGAATACAAACAGATCCAGATGTGACAGAGGTGACAGAACTAGTAGTCAAGAACAATAAAACAGTTATTACCTTGGATTTCTGGCCAAAATGGAATAACAGGGACCGGATTTATCTCCTAGTCTGAAAATGAGGCAAAAACAAAATGGGTAAAATATACAAAACGATGGTTTGCAAGGAACTGGACATCAAGCAATAAAAAACAGTGACAGATGAAGTTCATCCTGTGATGCACCCCAGCTGACTCCCTTGAGAGATTCCAGGTCTGGGAGCAATGCAGGGCAGCATGGCAAAGCTGGTTGGAACTCCTGACTTGAGGAGACAGAGCTGAGAGACGGAGGCAAAAAGAGGTCACAGGACACAGAACTGAGAGACCTGCACACAGAGAGAACTCCAGGTATATTAAGAAGGCCTGTCTAAGGCACTCAGCTGCCTACTGATGAGAGCAGCAACAGAGGACGCTTTCCAAGGCCAGGAAAGAACCAGCCCCAAATGATTAGAGGGCAGTTTCCTGGGAACCTCTCCCTCCACCCTTTTAGGGATCTTAGTTTCCTCATTTTTAAATCAGGGACTTTGTCTCACATCAAGCTTTTATTGCTCCTGTGAATTAGGCCTTCTGAGCTCGTAAAAGATTCCTGACCCTACCCTCAAAGATTCAGATTTAGTATATTTAAGGTGCACTTACGGAATTTCCACTTGGATCCCGCTTCCTGCACAGCCAGCTTACTCCCTGACCTGGGATAAACTTTTGAGTGGTCACTTCCTTCCGTCCCTTCCCCGCCCACGGGCGTTCTCTGTTTCTGGTGGAGGCCGCTCAGGCTGGGGAGGAGCTGAGCGAGCGCTGGGCGGGAAAGGCGCCTGGTGCTTTCGCGCCTTCCCGCCTTCCCGGGGCTCTGACTGCACAGTGCGCACGCGCAGCACTCGCCGTGCGGAGCGTCCTGAGCTGCAGGGCGGGTGACCGGTCGCCGCCGTTCTGCCGCTGCGGTGTGGACGGTGGCGGCGGCGGGAAGAGCAACCGGGCGGGGCCGGGCGGCCGCTGCGGAACCTCGCTGAGACCCCACGTTTCACCAGCCTCCAGGGGACCAAAAGACCCAAAGCAAGCTGCAGCCTGCTCCTGGGAGGGGTGTAGTGGGGCTGGACGCCTCTGGCAAAGGAGCCAACTTGGCTGAGGGGCAGATGCAGGAGGAGGAAGAGGCCAGAACTTGCAGCGTCTGGTTGCCGGGACGCGCATTAGTATGTGCAGAATTACTGGCCTGTTGCAGGACTCTCCAGTGAGCCATCTCCAAAGTGATGACCAAAGAAGTACTTTGCATGGGGCTTGAGGAAGCATCTTACTGTTTAAGAACCTGAATAAAAGCAGATGCCTTTAGTATGGGGTGCTATTTTTTTGAGAAGTTGGTCAAAGAAGGGGAGACAATAGTTGATCGAGGTGATGATGTGACAAGCCTTTAGAAAGTCATAGAAGAATATGTTTATGTAAAAGCTGATGATGTTGGTGGAGTAATCATGAGTACTTTTCCTAACCTAAATTAAAGTGACATATACCCAGAGACGCCAGCCACAATCACTCCTTAAATTCTAGGTGCTCTGTGAGGTTTGCAGAGAATAAACTTTCAAAGTGTAATTGTAAAAATAATATCAAAAAGTTAGAAAAAAAGAGAAATATTATGATAGCTTTCTCAATTCACTCTTAGTCCTTAAGTCATCTGCAAGCAGTACGTGTGACTGTCACCAGCATACACCTCGGTAGAGAATAAATCATTGCTCAAGGGGACTTGATGATCCTCTTTTCACTGTAGAATTTGGAGAACTTAAAAACCAATGAAAAGCAAGAGAAGGTAGAGAATGGTGTTGTCGAAATTGCCTGACATTTCTGAAGACAGAGAATTTGCCCTGGAAAAACCCGAACCTTAAGGAGCATCTGCACGTGTCATTATCACTAAGCACCTTGTAGGTGATAGCAAAGAGTCTGGATTTTATTATAAATGTGAAATTTATTTGAAATGGAGAATTTGAAGCAGGGAGTTAATACAAGAGGACTTCAACAATTCATGGAAAGATTTGTATTATCTTCCAATTCTATTTTTCCACAGACTTTTAGAAGTACACTTGTATAACCTGATTTATATTTTAAAAATTCACTCTGGCAGCTGTGTGGACAACAAACTCTGGGAAGGACAAGTAAATACAGAAGAGAGCAAGCAGCTAGGAGTTTATCCCAGGGTCCTGGAGGTGTCAGAGACATGGCCTTGTTGTGGAGGTGTTAGAAATAGTTGGATTCTCGGGGGCCGGCCCGGTGGCGCACTGCTACAGTGCGCCGCTTGGGAGTGAGGCGGCGCTCCCGCTGAGGGTTCGGATCCACGTACAGACCGGCCACTCACTGGCTGAGCGAGGTGCGGGCGCGACACCGAGGGTTGCGATCCCGTGGCCGGTCCCGGTCCGGTACGGGGCCGACACTGAAGGTTGCAATCCGTTGCCGGTCACGAAAAAAAAAAAGACAAAAAGGAACAAAAAGAAAAAAAAAAAAAGAAATAGTTGGATTCTGCATTTATTTTGCAGGGTAAACATATGGAATTTGCTTATGCATGGTGCGCTCCATAATTAAGAGAAAAAGAGGGCTCAGCGATGATTCCTGGGCTTTTTACTTGAGCAACTACAGTTAATGTCTTTATAACTGATACCAGGGAGTCTGAGGAAGGAGCTGCTGTGAGTGGCAACAGTACTGTGTGTGTGTGCGTGTGTGTGTGTGTGTGTGTGTGTGTGTTGATGCTTTCTACTTTTTGACATGTTGACTTGGAGCTGTTAATCCGCTGCAACTGAAAGATAAAGAGTGGCATGGAAGGATTCACATTCATGGTAGTGAATGTCCAGGAAGGAGTAAGAAGGGACAAGGGACTGAACATGGGAGGGCAGAACATAGGACAAAATAGAAGAAAGAGAGACTGGGATTTATAATAGTAAGTATGTTGGCCATTAACTGAGAGGTATAACTGAGGTATGGTGAAAATTAAAAGGGGAAAAATGTTCACATTAAGATATATCAGCAGAAGATAAAGATAAAAGCCTGCCTTGTATTTCAGATCTCCTGTTTCTTAGGTGACATGTATTTTTTACCTCCTAGTAGACCACTCTTGCCCGTTCATAATAGGACCCAAATCAGCACATGCTTTCTGCCACTCCCAGAGTTCCCCCACCCCTTGAGTCTAGGGAATAGCTGAGGCTCGTATTTCCTTTTCATTTGCTAGTCACTAGAATAGCAACTGAACCGCATGCTTGAAATAATTAGTCTGTTGCCATGTTAGGTGGCAGTCTTCCATTTCTGCCTTAAATATAAAACTGACCCTCACAAAGAAACTAACTGCCCACAGCGGCTGGGCCATGACTGTAGGTCTGGTATGGAACTCCAGCTTTGCTTTCCCTTTTGCGGCTGTGCTCTGAAAGCTTTGATGGAAACCCACTGCAGCTTGGCAGCAGTAACAGTATGAAGGGAGCTCAGGGAATCTGTTGAGCCTCCAAGGAAACCTCACCTTCTGCTGATGCTTACATGGGGTTGTTGAAATTGTCTGACATCCTATCCACACGCAAAAGATTGAAACTAGACCCCTATTTCTCACCATATGCAAAAATCAACTCAAAATGGATTAAAGACCTAAATTTTAAGACCTGAAACTACGAAACTTCTAGAAGAAAACATAGAGGGAATGTTATATAAAATGGGAGTGGGCAGCACTTTTTTGAGCAAGACTACAAAGGCACAGGCAACTAAGGCAATAACACACAAATGGGACTCCATCAAACTAAAAAGCTTCTGCACAACAAGGGACACTATCAACAAAGTGAAGAGACAACCTACAGAATGGGAGAAAGTGTTTGCCAACCACACACCGAACAATGGGCTAATATCCAGAAAATATAAGAAACTCAACAGCAAGAAAAAAAGAAAAAGTGAAAATGGGCAAAGACTTGAACAGACATTTCTCAAAAGAAGACATACAAATGGCCAACAAGCAGATGAAGAAGTACTCAA